CAATCTCAGCATCTAGCCCCACGTATGGCACCTAAGATAACAGTCGCTAGGTTGTTTGAGGAGATAATGTACAGTTAAATTACCGAATTGCTCAACAGTAGCCTGGGTTAATATTGAACATATCTATCAGGTCTAAAGCCCCCCCCCATTTGAGGGTGATATTGCAAAATGTTTTGTACATTTTCTTCAATAATATGGTATGAGCCATGGTTTTGTATAGTACGACTGTTTTATCATCTTCGTTAAAATTATGACATATTGGTATTTTCCAACAGGAAAATAACACCTGGTGTGTTTATCCAGATGACTAATTAACCTGACAGTACTATACTGTATTTAACGAGATAAAATAATCCATGTGACTCTACCATAACACAATGTGTTTGTCCAGCTAACCAATCCATCAGACTATACCATAACAAATTATGTGTTTGTCCAGATGACCAATCAATCTGTCTGTACCATATAACACGTACTGTGCTTGTCCAGATCAATCTGACTGTAATATATCAGCTTACGCTTTTGTCCAGAAGACCAATCTATCTATCTGTACTATAACCAACACCATCTGACAAATAACATACATTGTTACTTAGTATCAATTGTTCCTACAATTCTTCATAAAAAGCTGAGCTACAACATAATATAAAATTCTAATATGTCACGTTCTCGAAACATTTTTTTAGTTTGATTATTCCGATCCACTGAAGAAGACACTAATGATCGCAATGGTTTGAAAACAGTATATATTAAATACATCTTTATGGCATTATTGTCAACATTCGAGTAAGCATGTACAATTTTCCTGGAAATTACAATGACTGAAGTGATGCTTTTCGATGTTGCAAAGTTGATTTGCTTGTTGCAATCACGTACGCCGATGTCGACACACACACCGAAAAAGACAGTACGATGGTTCCATATAACAATATATATATAAGTTACCGATTCAGTGATTTTATTGCGTCGTATTTATGAGTGATATACTAGATGTACGTGTTGGATTTAGCGTGAAATACATTGTTTGACAAATGTTGCTATACCACACACAATGTTACGTGAAATGTGCTTTTTCTTGTTATCGACGTGATTGTCAAGCGAGAAACATGCTTGTTTGAAGACAGCACTAGCTCATAACCATTTTAAAAATTTTAAAACAAACTATATTATATGCATTTCTCGAAGAAGAGTATTCAGTAGAACGTGTTCACATACCCAGAACCCATCGCATATACGTGTGTTTATAACACAACACTGAGCTCAAATGAACGCCCGATTGAAATACTACTTTTTCAAGCGTGTCATGTTGTAGCTTCGGTATGACTATTTAAATATGTGCATGTACAGAACAAGTCATTCCATTCTGGAAATAACTATTGCATATTATGTGAGATCTTTATAAATTGGCACTTAACCTTTGACACGGTTAATATATTACGTATTCCCACACATCTGAATGCGTACACAATTGCTGAGAAAGGAGTGTTATTTGCTCAAAACAAACAATAAAATATGACGTGCCGGAGCTTCTACATTGACCGTTCACTTAGAATATTAGCCAGCCAGGCACGGATTTAGAACGCTATACATTGTGTAATCTTGAAAGATTTTGTCTTAATTTGATCAATCAACCGCGAATAGTCGATATGATATGACATATCATACCATCTGTTACAATACTATATGCTCTAATTGAGAGATAATGCATAATTAAACGCTCAAAGTTTCTGTCAGCATATTTATTACATCATTTGCATAATTTGGCACTAATACGCGCTGACGACTCATTGGATTCCGCTCAGTTGCGCTTTCGTTTACATTTCGATTTTTCTATACATTGCCGCAAGTAACAGAAATGATTCTTAACAACACACACGGAGAAGAAAAACACCGTTGATAGGAATACACTAGTATTTTCACAGCATACACATTCCTTCAATCTCAATAAACTGTGTACCACTGTATTGAAGCCACACTGATATACTGATTACTCACATTTTAGAACCACCTTTATAAGCATTTACAAATATATTAAATACATTACAATGCAATTGTATTTATTTATTTATACATGCATGTCCATGCGGTACATGTCCCCTTCAACGACGATGTTTCTATGTTAGAATCATTTCCATGGAAGACTCGACGACCCATTTGTATCTTCAATGATTATAATATATCGTCACCCATGGAGAACATGACGACAGAACGGCGATTCACTTTAGAAAACAAAATTAAATCCTAACCTATCCCTTTCGAAGGATGTAGACAAGTTTTGCTTTGAGACATATTTAATAAGAAAATATAATCATTAACAATTTCCCAACGCAGTACGAATTATCTCGATTCACTGCCGTCTCATTCTCCTTATTTCGCGTATTTCTGCAGACATACTCAACTACCTCTGCCAGAGGACATTCGAATTCACAGTCTGTAGAGAAATGTATTTGAATATTCTTTTTTAAAATACAGTTATAGGACAGGTATTGAAACAAAATCAAAGATAATTAAGTTGAAAACAAACAAACAATAGCTTATCAGATGATCTGAAACTGTGTTGATAACCGTCTTTATGAAACGAGTTA